GTTCGCGCTTGCTTCTTGCATGAGCAGCTAGCCGTGCTCCATCTCACATCCCATCCGCTACTGGACTTCCTTCCACTTTCTTCTGAGCAACAACAACAACGTCGTTTTTTTTTGTTTTTTGTCCAACGACCTTTTCCCTCGTCGCGCTTACCCATTGCCTCGGCAGCTCCCTTTCATCTCGCACCTACCCCCTCCAACTGCCCTTTCTCGCCCTCATACCAGAGGCGGCTGAGCAAAACTTCTTCTACAGCACTCGCATTCAAGACTACTTTCGATTTCTTGCGGTCCTCTTGAGAACAAAACAACATGTCTAAGAAAGGCGATGTCAACAACAAGCCCAAGGTGGCTCCGTCCACGCACTTGATTGCGGGTGGTATTGCCGGGTTTGCGGAAGCATGCACATGTCATCGTGAGTCGTATGATCGCTAGTGATCGCTCGATCGCAGCTCTCAAAGGGCTCAGACTCATCGCGAACGCTACCCTGCTTGCCGCGCAACTCAGCTCTCGACACGATCAAGGTCCGCATGCAACTCTCTCGCAGGGGCAAGATCTCTGGTCAAAAGCCACGAGGTTTCCTGGCTACTGGTGCTTACATCGTGCAGAGGGAAACGCCCCTTGGCCTTTACAAAGGTCTTGGAGCTGTCGTCGCTGGTATTGTGCCCAAGATGGCCATTCGATTCATGAGCTTCGAGTACTACAAGGCTTACTTTGCGGATCGCGTGACTGGCAAGACTAGCCCTTCTGGCGTCTTCTTGGGTGAGTGATGGAGCTCCGGTGCTCTTGAATGGTAGTGTAATGTCGTGCTCGTCGGAGCATTGGCCACCATGGCCGAAAGCTTGAGCACAGATTTGAGCAGTTGCCCCATCTCTCCCTGGCTAACGCTCGACGCCCATCAACCTTACGCATCCACAGCTGGTCTCGGAGCCGGAACTACTGAGTGGGTGATGAGATAGATTCTCGAGGCAGCAGGCTCGGCTGCGCAGGCGCCGCTTTCGGCCACTTGACTGACCAGAAGCCGCATATGATGTTTCACCAGAGCCGTGGTGGTCGTGAATCCGATGGAAGTGGTCAAGATTCGTCTCCAAGCTCAGCAACATTCTTTGGCCGACCCTCTCGAGGTTCCTCGATACCGAAATGCGGCTCATGCTTTGTACACCATTGTGCGAGAAGAAGGCATCACAACTCTGTACCGCGGAGTCGCTCTCACTGCTGCTCGTCAAGCTACCAACCAAGGTGAGTCAGACAAAGCTACACAGACGCAGCAGGCACGTCGAGCTAATCTCAGGCACGTACCACAGCTGCAAACTTCACTGCTTACCAGGAGCTGAAAGCTCTGGCCCAGAGAGTGCAGGGTGTCGACGAACTCCCCAGCATTCAGACTGGTACGATCGGACTTATCTCCGGAGCCCTCGGTCCATGTAAGTCCGCACTGGGCTATCGGTGTGTGTGGCAGCGATCACTGGCTGACAATTGGGCGACTCGGGCCATCGATCCCGTCCCTAGTCTCCAACGCCCCGTGAGTCGAATGAAGCCGCACTGCAGTGTTAAGCCTCACTCGCTGACTAGCTGCTATGTTCTTGGTTCGCAGCATCGATACCATCAAGACACGTATTCAGCGTGCTTCTCGTGTAGAAGGAGAGACTGCAATCAGTCGAGTGGTCAAGGTTGCTGGAGAGATGTTCAAGCAAGAAGGACCTGCCGCCTTTTGGAAAGGTATCACGCCTCGCGTTGCTCGTGTCGCGCCAGGTGAGTGGCCGTCGTGCTCTGCTAGGAACACTCTGCAGGCTGTCCAAGCTGACCCTCACTTACCCGTGCTATTCAGGCCAAGCCGTCGTCTTCACGATCTACGAGGTGAGTAGGCGACGTACTGATCGGGTAGACAAGCTCTGCGCTGACGGGCGTGCAACACCTTTTCTGGACAACAGAAAGTCAAGGCATACATCGAAGCAGCGAAAGCTGGTGAATTCAATGTTCGCGATCACGACAACAGCTCGTAGAAGACAGGGGAATCTGAACACCGGTAGTGAGCTCAGCTGCGAGATTTTATGGAGGGAATCGCTTCGCCACGATGTTGTCGAGGACTCCGATGCTTGCGGCTTTGT